CACCTCTAACTCTTGTGGGCTGGGTTAAGATAACCCAGGGTTAGTGGTATATTTGATTTTAGATCTGAAAGCTTTAAAAGAAAATTCAGTAGAATTATTTTTGTCTACAATTTGATAAATGGACTCTCTAAGAACAATAATAGGGGAAATCATCCCAAAAAGACTCTTGAATGGAGAAATAAAGAAACCTTATTAAAATAACCCTGGGTTAGCACTAATCAGCTTTCAGACAACTGTGACCAGTACCTTAAGCCCTGGAAATGAAACATTGAAAAAAAAAAATCAAAAGTATTTTTAATTAGTGGAATTTTGTCCTTGAGGGGTTTTTGGATACACTTTTTTTTCCCCTAAAATTACCACTGACTGTCTTTTCATGTTTTTTCAGGCTTGGAGGTGGTCCAGATGATGCAAAGGAAGTCATGAAACATAAATTTTTTGAGACAATTAACTGGGACAACATACTCAACAAAATGGTAAACTTGCAATACAAATAAATAAGCAATCATTGCATCACGCTATAATTGTTTTTCATTATTGTTTGCTAATCAACTACTTACTGTTTTTTTGAAACATGCAGGTAAAACCTCCTTTCAAGCCTGTTGTCAAGTCCGAGACTGATGTATCAAATTTTGATGAAGACTTCACCAGTGAAGTACCCCAACTCACACCTCCAGAAGGTATAAGATGTGGGCAAAACCATTTTGACCTTTTAAAGCATTAAGTACCAGTATAGTTAGCAATAGCAAGTTTGATTTTTAATTTATTTCAGTAGACACATGTAGATGATTAATGTTTCAAATGATTAAAGAATGGGAAATATGCTTTCACTTAATTTATGGCCATATAAATAAGTATTTCAATAGAAACTTTGTCCACTTTTAATTAATCAACAAGCTGTCCAATTTTTTGTGGCTACTGCCTCCTACAGGACGCAAAGCCACATGTTGCCAAGATAAGTAAGGTAATGCCACAGATGATAAATGTCTCAAAATAATTTCACAGTGGCATCCACTGACACATGAATTAAATCAAATTTTTTTCCTAGCAGAAATGTTAATTGATGTGATGTACACATCATGGAAGTTTTAAGGAAATTTTTGTTGTTTTTGAAAAGAGAGCATTTTACTGTTTGAATCAGCAACTTATATCATAAAGGACATGGACATGAGTGACAACTTGGGTTGCTCTTCACCTGTCTTGTTCTTGAAATCACGTTTATTTAATGGCAATCAACATCACAGCAAAAATGACCATAATTCTAAAAAAAATTTTTTGCAGGAGATCTCCCAGATATTGCTGAGGAAAGTGAAGCTTTTGACCAATTTTCATTCACTCCAGAGAAGGGAAGCCATTTACAGTCCTAACGAAGCCATGATCACATAGTTCAGAGGGTATTTACTAGTGTGGGCCACATGTATCATCAGTAATTAATACTAATAATTATTATAACATTTGTTGCTGCAGGTTTTGTTTTTATTTGTTTGTTTGTTTTTTTAGTTTATAATCATTAATTTATGCATTCTTAGGAAAACACCCATGCTAGCTGTCTCTGGTGATTAAATCATGTTTGTTTCCTGCTGAAATTATATGACTGTCTTCAACAATCTGGTATGAAGACAAATGTTAGCACCATGTGCATGTGGCTGGAAACTTTTGCAGAAGTTTAATTCCACTAAATGTAATAATTTTTTACAATTTGGAACGATTAATTTCTGCCACACAGTAAATTTAGCAGTTTTCTTTTCAAGGAGAACATTAACAAGGAAAAAAGTGTGATACTGTTACTTCCTGACTCCTGAGTGCACCCTACTGTTATAATACTGATATTTAAGTGAGAACTGTGTAATTGTTGTCAATAGCTTACTATGCAAGCATATCAAAAGCTTCATACCACCATCTTTAAGTCAGTCCAAGATTTCCACATGGGAACTACAATTCACAATTACTGGAGACAGTCTTAGCATGTAAGTCCCCAAAATTCCAGAGTTAGTCTTTGCCACAGTTTTTTTCTTTTTTTGACTAGTCTGTGCCATGTTACATTTGTCCAGGCCTGATGTTTCAAGATTTGGAGATGAATGATGGAATGGCAATTCAGTGTTCAATTTTTTTTTTGTTTTTTGTAGCGTTTACCAGGTTCCTTTGTCTGCAAAGTCAAAGTGAATGATCATTCAGTAGTACTCAATCATCAATTTATCTTCTTAGATCACCAAATTCAGTAAGTTTATTATTAGAATTAAACAGGAATTTTATTTTCAAGCCTGGTCTTTCATAGATTTTAAATCCAGACATCCTGTCGAGTGTTTTTGTTTTGTTTGAGTCATTTTCAAATAATAGTACAGTTAGTGGCTAGTCTTTAGTTTATTCATCCTTGTTAAACTTAAGAAACAATGAACACTTGAGTTTAATCAGACTGGTCAGTTATGTGCTGAAATAAGGTGAGAGCAGGCAAGCAAATCTCAAAACAACAATCATTCCTGTTTACAGTTTAGTTTAGCTCTTAACCCTTTAACTCCCATGAGTGACCGAGACAGAATTTCTCCTTACAATATCAATACAATACCACACAGACAAGTGATAAGAATAAAGGAAAATATCAATTAACATCATGAGAATTGTATACACCAAATCAAACTTTGGAGTCCAATTTGAATTGCCATTGTTCTGGACTTACTAGCCTCTCACACATGTGATAATCCTTTTGTGTTTCCATGTGAAGACAAGCCTAGTAAGTCCAGAACAATGGGTAATTCAAATTCGAAGCCATATTTCGATTCAGTGAATAGCAGACAGTAAGGAAAACTATTGATGTAATCTCGGGAGTTAAAGCGTCAATTTGGAGTACAGTAACATCTCCATAAATATTTATGGTGTTCAAGGCTTCAAGAGTTTCATGGGGTCCCTTTCTCAAAAGTTCAGGTAACTTAACAGGTTCAAAGCCATGCTTTAAAATAAAAATTTAAAGGACAGAAAAGCAGATTCTGGCACCCAAATTAGTCCATTTTGTTTCTTTAGCTGATAGTTTTATTGTTTTGTTTTTTTCCAAAACTTTTGAAATCTCCATCTTGAATGAAAACAGAACAGTGTTATAGGCCTGTTAAGTGACTGCCACTTTTGAGGAATGGGCCCATGGTGACACTAAGATATGAAAAAGTTTGTGCTCAGTTTTGTTGTACCATAAGTCTGTGTGCTTGAATCCCAATTTGATTCAATTTATTTCAATATTTGAAGTTACAGAAGAATGTTAAAAATTATTTTGCATACCAAACAGTAATTTTTATAAGTAGAATTTGTAATAACAGGTAATTTAATGAGCTAAAAATCGAAAAAAAAAATAGAACAGAAATAATTCATAGTCACTTGTTTTGAAAAAAATGATTTTGTTGAATTAATAATGAACACAAACATTCAGTCAAGTAAATTTACATTGCTGCTAAGTCCTTTAAAAAAAGACACTGTCCAAAGCTGCCCAAACTTTGAATTTTAATTCATGAAGTACATTGAACCACCTTGCAAATATTTACAAATTAAGCATCATCCAATTATTTAGTGGTTGATACTAAATAAAATGTAAATATGTCTTCACTGTAAGGCTTTTTTTCTACAATTGTCATTCTGTAAAGTGCAAATATTAATTACTTGTAAAAGATATTTTACTCCACACTTTTGATAACTTTTAGAAAATAAAGCTTACTTTTATTACCCTTTGATTGAACTTGGTTATGATTTTTATTGATTGTAAGTTGTGTTCCTGACATGCTTCAGAGACAAATGAAAGTAACAGTCCCTCTCTGACAAAATTATTAAATTATTGCCATGACAACTGTTCAGTTATAGTTTACAGATGGCATGCCCTCACTCACAGAGTTCCCCACAGTGCCCAACCATCATTTCTCTAGAGAAAGATGTTTTTTGTCCTGTCACGAACGTGAATCCCTATGAGAAATCAAACCTCAGACCTTTGGATTCCATGCTCCAATGCCCTACCAGTGCCAAAGAGACTCTATGGTGAGCAAGGCCCATTATGAAGTTTATATACATGTAGGACATGCATACCGCTAGGATCCACAATGTCAATTTTAGCGTCATGTTTTAGTAAATAGAATACCGGTAAGAAAGATGTTAAGCTTTGAGCTCAAAACTTACCATATTTCTTACTCTATTTTTTTATTCATTAATATTTATTACTTGTGAAAAGGACTTCACCCATAGGGAAGGACAGCATGTAGTCTAAAATATGATAAGAACAAATAAGTGGCACACAACATGCAGCTGAATGTCAGTGATGTTCTTCCTACATTTTGACTACTGTGCTCTTTAACCGAACTGATGTATGGCAACATGGAATCTATTTGTTTTATGTAAACATCTGTTCTCCAATAGATCACTAGTAAAAACCAATCCAAATCCATGTCTAATTTCTCTTGTGATTTAGGAGTGATTTCAGTAGCCTGTTCCATCCACTCTTGGGTTGGTGGAGATAATAAAAAGAGTGAGGAAATGGAAAATGGCAGTTGTCACAGGTAAAGCTGTCTGACCCACACTGTTTTTCACATACTCATTTTCCACACTGACAGAGAATGGAAGAAACCCTTAGAAACCCTTTTGGACCAAGGAGCACTGTTGTATGACAAGCTTGCTTCAAAACAACCTTGAAGTTCTGAACTGCCAGTCAATGAATGACAAAGAGATGATGAAGTAATCTGAATCTATTCCTTGGGTTTATTCAGACTTGAGATGTCACCAAAGCTAGCTGTTGCAGACCCACGTGTAGCAGCTTTTTGCTGAAAATAAAAAATCACTGTACATCAAAACAAGGTTACCAACAACACTACTGATACTTTGATCGACGAAATTAACAAATGGTAAACACCACAGCGTACACTATTGAGTTATGGATGCACGCGGGAGGTTGCTAAGCACAAAAGAAGTA